CACTGAAATCAGTCTCATTTCACCATTAGGGAGAATCCACTTTATCCATTTCAATCTCTGTCATCGAAGGAAAAAGGGCTAGCATCATTTCTCCATTGGGGAGAGACCACTTTTGAAATGAAAGATCAACTCTTCGAAGGGAAAAGCTTCAGTGTGAAATTACAGCTATATTGGCATCGACTATGTCTCTCATCGGTTCTCCAGCATGCGAGTTCATTCAGTATCGAAGTCAGCTAGCCTTCATTCAATCAAGGCAAGTTCAATGGGATCTCCCTTGTCTCTCAGTCTCAGTTGCAATACTTGTACATGAAAGGCAGTGAAATACCATTCAATAGAAAGAGGATTGAATATCTCACTTCAATACCGATCTATCGAACTGTATACCTTCAATATCGAACTTCTCCGAGCAGTTCTAATGCCATACCGATGGAATTCCTATCCAGTAGTAAACTTCGACAGCAAGGACCGTTTCACTTGTCTAGATGGCCACATCTAAACTTGTACTTATATGCAATACCGAAATAAGTCGGGTAGTGCCCGCGATGGACTTGCCTTTCCGGCTAAGTACTTGACTTCAAAGACAGCTAGCTAGTTTCATTCAAGAAAGAGGATTTGTACCAAAAGAACAGGCTTTCTACCCCTTCTAGCGAGTTATTAGCATCTGGGAGTTCTAGCGACTGACTTGCCCGCATCTCTTGCCTTAAAGGTTTCACTGCTCTAACTAGGGTATCCCGCAGAAAGAAGTCAACTAGAAGGCAAAATCCACCTAGTCAAAATGGCAGTGACGGACTAATGTACTTGAGCCTATTTTCTCGATCGAGAAATGGCATTCTTTTATGCGCTTTCTCGCTAACAAGCCAAGCAGTCCCTAGCGGGCTATCCGTCATTAACTCGAAGAAGTGCAACAAGACCAGTATCGAACTGGGATTGCCTCTCTTTCAATCTTCGGAAGTTACTTTGTATCCCTTTCTAATGCAATATCTTCAATCAGATCTGTACGAGTGACAGGAAGAAGTCAGCTAGTTGCCATCCGCTCTGTCCCAATCTCCGGTCAATGATTGAGTCCGAACTCACCTAAAACGGCGTAGAAGGGCAAATCTACCTAGTCAAAACTCTTGTTTAGAGGAGCCCCTGAAATTTTGAAAGCTTCCTCGCCTTCACCCTATGAGTTCAGGGTGCTTTCCTGGCTCGCCTTCACTCATATCATAGGGTTGTGTTCAGTACGATCTTTAGCCTTTCTTCGTAAGATCCTGAGAACTGAAATGCCTAAAGACGGTGCTCAAGTCAGAAATGCGATCTTCTAGGGCAGGAATTCTTATATGCTAATTGCCTGAAATCCCTCTCATTTTGTCAATAAGGGAGAGGTTGGGAGATAGCTCTTAGCCTGTTGGTTGCTTGCCTGTGACTTGACTTCCTCGTACTCCTTCTCCTAGAAAGCGACTTCTTTCATTCCTCGACAGCTAGGTCTTTGCCGACTCTTAGCTTTCCAGGCGGGTTGGTGTTCAACCTTCATTCAATAGGGCTATCTATCCGAAAGGTCTTAATAAAAGAATCCCTGTAATAGAAGTTCATTCCTTAAAGACCTTCCTAATCAGTAATTTGATGGTCTTCCGTAAAGACTTTCATGCGCACCTTCCTTCATAAGGACAGGTAACCAGGCGGGTGACTCACTCGTAGGTAGCACTCTCCGATGCTTTGACTCCTTCTTTTAGTAGTTCCTTTGAAGCTAGTAACTAGAATATAGGACCCGGAAGGCGGGCTCTTATTGCTCAAACCGGAGCGGTTGTAGAGTTTAGAAATCTCATTTGAGGGGATGCCTCTAGCAACAAGCCCCTCAGGGGCGGTAGTCTCCCTCCTCAGGTCGGTCGACGGTAGTCTCCCTAACGGTCGACAGGTAGCACTTCTCCGACTAAAAGAGAGCTTCCAAGCAGGAGAGGAGCGAAAAGCCTCTCGCTTTCAAGTCGAAGGCGGGAGATGAGCGGAAAGTCTTCAAACTCTTCCCACTACTGTCAAAACTCTCGGATCTCTTTCCCTGAAGCCTCCTATCAAGTAAGGCGTGTAAGTCAACTTTCTATTGAATGGGGCGAGGAGGGCAACTACTGAAGGGCGATCTCGGCTGAAAGCAAGCTTGATTAGGGGTAAGGCAACAGGGCTTAGTACGAAGACTAGGAATGGGATCGATCGGAGAGACTTCTTTGATCTTTTACCTTATTATAGTAATTCAGTGCTACCGAATCGCCTTCTAGACAAGGATAGTGAAATAGGATCCATCGCCTTGGAATAGGATCAAAGAGGATAGAGTGAGTGGAATATGTAGGCGGTGGTAAACTCCTCTTTTCGGTAGTAGAAGGGAAGCTCGTCCTCTTATTGTTTGTGTCAATACTCAACTTCGTCAGTCTGGTTGAACAGCCTCCCAATGAGAGCGAGCCAAGACTTTGCTTGCTGTTTGTGTTTGTCCGCCACGACTGCTCAACCAACTGCTAAATCATGGGTTCTAATC